AAGTATTTGAAAAGCGGAAAAGTGACGGAGTAGGTTTTCGGATTTCTGTGGCTTTTGAAAGGATCCACGCTTAAAGTCGAATTCGTTTCGTATACTGTTTTGTTTGCGCCTGTCTCTAAGGACCATGAAGCGTATAACCGCACCACCAAATATGATCCTTATGGATATTGCCCTTTCATGGAAATAACTGTCATCTATTTTCTAGATAAGATCGTAATTGAATCGGCTTGACGGCAGATTTGCACACGGACCACTGCCGCTGCATGCAACGTGGGAGAATCAAAAAGAATGAGGGCTTTCTCGTTCGGGACGCTTTCACCCTCAGCCGTGCACATAATATAGACACGTTAAAAATAAAAATATTTAAAACAATATTGCAAATTGTTTATAAAAACAAGAAAAAAAAGTTGAATTTAATTTTAAACCAAAGCGAGCAATCATGAAGATTAAGATTATTGCCCCTGTGTATCCTATGGGGGTTTGCGGTGTTTGTGGCTTTAGTTAACCAACCCCGGGTACACATAATCAGATAGCAAACGTACGCTTCCGCCAGCGGGGGCAGTTTTCTAATTGGGGGATACTCGGCAAACGGTCCGACTATGCGTAGATCTTGAGCGTAGCTAAACGCAAACAGGAAAACAAACATTTTTCTCTTAGTGCCTTGGCTCCTTACCTTAACAACGCAATTATGTAATCGTTTCTTATGCCTCGCATGCTCGAACACATATCGCCGGTAATTGAACATAGGGTTTGCATCCATGTTGCCACTCTTGTGCGATCAAAGGTGTTTGGCAACATTGCCGCATACGGTTTAAGTAAATATAGAAAAAACTGAAATTCTTGATCCAAAATCTATAAATTACACAATAACACAAACCAAAATTAATTAAAATTCACAAAATATACTTTATCTAATTTGTGATCTTCATCACATTCAGATTTCATGCAATGCACAGCACAGGTCAATGTCTGAAAGTCTTCCGATAGATTATTGCAAGTTTCTTGCCAGGTTGTATCCAGTTCCCATTCGGCCGCAGGAAATTCCGGTTTTTCTAATGATTCCATATCAGGAAGAGCTCCCAATGGCGGTGGAAATTTAACAATACCAACTGGTTCTTCACTAAGCAATGATAGCGTTAAATAATGCAGAAATTTATTGCGTTTTTCGCGAAACTGTGAGCTATGATATTCCGGACGAAAAAGTTTCTGCGCCCAAGGTAAAACGCGTTTTTTACGCATATCGTCAGTCATCAATCCACTCATCTCCTTTAAAACTGAACTATAATAAACAAATTCAGTGTTGAGCGTGTCTGGTTTGCCTGTTGGATTGTTTTTCGGTGTTTCTTCATCTTCTTTTGATTTTTTTGAAACGCTTGTTGCATTTGTGGCTGTTTTACTACTTGATTTGCTTGAATGAGCTTGTTCAGTATTTGATGTTCCACCACTAATATTATTCTATTAAATAATTGCTATAATTTATATTATTTTGTCTTTTACCTGTGAATACTATGTTCTTCCATTTTTTTATACTAATTTCAGGGTGTGAGTAATTTTGAACGAATAAATTGGTCAGGGCTTGTGATCATCCAAAATTTGGCATTTGACATGTGTCTATTATAAGCTGACTTGATCGTTTCAAGTACGTGACGTACTCGACACCTCTCGAATATCAATATCATGTCAAGAAATAATGGAAAGGACAGATGAGTGGTGTTTAAGAATTCAACACCGGTCCAGAGTGGTGATTTATCTATTGTTTGATAATTGAATAGCCATGGTGTCACTCAATCACGCAATGGCCCAGAAATATACGATAATCAACTAGATCCAAACAAAAGTAAAAATTAATAATTTTTCTTTTTAATCGCACAGAAAAAATCTAGTGCTATTGTTGATGTAGAAATCGTACAGCTTATCAAAACAGTATTGCTGTTGACATTATCGAGTGCGTGAACAGTAAACCAATGCAAAAAAAAGTATAATCGACATTTTTCAATTTACGCTAAGTAAAATGCATTTCATGTATTTTTATTATTGTTCCATCCCTTTATATTTTTACCCGCATAGTCTCGATGTAGACTATATGCCTACCAGGATCTGTGGAAAAAAAAACGAGTACGCAGACAAATCGGCTGGTCGTTTATTATTTTTTCCATTAACGATTTTTAATTCCGAATAAAATCGACCACACACACACAATTTGCCCGCACTCCCTGATATATTCTACAAAGTTAGTCTACGCAGTCAAACCTTTAAAATGTGAATCCAGGCGATTTAATTTAATTATTTATGGAAATGCATTTTTTAAACCGAAACACTCCATAACCACTACACACGCGAATGATTTTGCTTTCGCGTCGAAATGTGATGTGCGGTCTATAAAGATAATATGCACACGCATATAGTTCGGATTACAACATTGTGCACGCATACTTGCGCAGGGAATCACAGTTTCAATCGTAGTTCAGTAGTATGGACTCATTGACTGTGTGTAGGTGGCGAATAAGTGAGAACTTTTGACCGAAACGAATGTCACGCGGGACATCGGAACACTGTTCTTCCATTTTTCCAACCTAAAATAACCAACAGTCGGTTGTCCGGCTAATGGACCGAGTGGATGAGGCACTACGTCCCAAGCCATAGGCGAGAGCATAGGGACGAAGAGCGCGTAAGTGCTGTGTGACAAATTCGGGACGAGCCAGTGTCAGGTATATTGGTTTTCCCTTCGTGGAAATCTCTATGCTAAAAGTCTCTAGATATTTTCATCCTCCATTTGGGAACGATTGAAAATTATCAATTATTTAAACGAAAAACTCATACAAATAATTAACTTGCAACAACACAGAAAACTGCAAAGCAATAATAAAAGTTGACTTTATTCATACTCTGTGTGTGTAAAACCTGACAACTTTAAAAGCTTCATTCTGAAGATAAACGAATAGACGGTGAACGAAGAAACCTCGGAATTATATTATATAATCTTAATATGTAAATCTGGGCAGGATTATGAAGATTTTGCGAGGGAGCAGGCTTTAACTGTTCTAACTCCTTAACTCTTCGAATTATATTTTAGAATAATTATTATAAGATTATAATTGCTCTCTACACTCAACTCGCGACCGGGTTTAAGCTTTGCGAACGAGTACCCTCTCCTTATACGCTCCGACATCCATTTACCTCTCGCAACACATTTCCCAAGCAACCAGTCTTCGCCTTTCCGCGCTGAAATAACGTTAAGCTGGCAAATTCCCACACTCGTATTTGTTGGCCTCTTTTTCTCTTCCCTGAAGCTCGGAATTCTATAAGCTCATCATTTGCATCTTTATAAATATCTTAAGAATACAACTTTTGCAATAATATGCGCATATTGTGGCGCATAACAATTCATAAGGAGCACGTGATAAAATGCTGCAAACATGTTATTCTAAATGATATAAACGAGTGACAGTTTGTTAGCAAGTGCAAGTAACAAGTTAAATTTACAATCAAGAACACGTTCTGCAGTCTATTGTATGGGCACCACGTGTACACTTGCACGTGCGTGCGGAATGCATATGCTAAAGCAACCCTTCAGCCATTCTTCGTTTTCTGTTGCTTTAAGCCCTCAGCCGGGGAATATATTCGCGTGCTTGGGGCTCTGATATCTTAACTAACTGTGTTATAATGTATGATTTCAGAACCATGCTGTACACTGCTCACTGTTGCTTCGCCAAACTTCTCCGCTCGCTGGTTCTCAGCGTGCAAGAAACATAACAAAAGGTAAGCGCGAGGTATGAACCTACGTGCTATACAAACAGCATTATAATTTATATAGTTACGCGTAGTGCTTACCTGCACCCTTCGGCTTGATTTAGTATTCGCGAGGAAATCAGGAATAAGGCGAATATTAAATTATCACAGATGTTACACGCGTTTTCAAGTCATCCGTCTTGGTTTCGGCTAAGTTTCACCACTTGCACTAGACCAGAACTACTTATTAAGTAGAGCAAGTTGATATTTATCTCATTGTTAGTTAAAACAAAACAGGTTATGATTATTTCTTGAAACAAACTAAAAAATAACTGAAAATACCTGAAAAGTTGTTGTATCAATTACAGCGTCGATTGGTTTGCACACAATCGCACATTATGGTTTAGCACAACAGATTTTTGGCAACTACAAACGACAAACACGAAATAAACAATGAAAACGTGAATAATGTGAGGAAAATTAAGTAATTACCTCATAAATGAAATTGTTTGACTTATGCAACCAACTTCACACTATTGATGAATATTGATTTAACCTCATTGTTTGATAAATTGGCTAACTACTGCTTTGAAACTACATGAATCAACATATAGTTTGTTATTATAACCGGTAAGAATTATTTTCACTCCATAATCCTCCGCAGATTTGAATATTCACGATGACAGTTTGATTGATTTTCCTTTTATAACAATCACCGCCATAACGCAAATAATTGATGATCTACGACCCCTTTCCTCTACGGGAAGCCACGTTCCGCAATGCGCTAACAAAGGAGATATTTTTGGCAACTTTATGCGACGATAATACGTACCCATTCCTTGGATTTATCTCTATCATTGCGGTGTATCTTCAATGTCGAACATACTCGTTGGCTGTTCTCTTCTCTATGCCTCGCCTGGGGTGGGACAGTTTGTATTTAAATGTAGTCACATTTCGTGTTCAATGGCGCGGCATTACGCGATTTATGCTGTCACGTGAAAAGTGTTGTCGGTTTTGAGCGCACAACCAGCGTCTGCATGTCATTTATATGCGCCATTGGTACCAACTTAAATAGTAACTTCGGAACGCGCAGATATATCCCCATGTAAAACAAGATATTTTTAGAATTATATGCAGCATATAAAGTATCGTCATTTAAACGCGCGGAAATGAAAATTATAGAGTAAAATGATATTTAAAGGTTAATATCTTTGTGTGCGGTGATTCTGTAAAGTAAGAAACGAGGTAAGAGTTTAAAACACCACTTGCTGTATGTTATAAATTGATTTTTATTATATCTTTGGTCATAATCATTGGCATGACAAGACAAGTAGAAGTATGGTATTTAGGTACTATTTACATTGGCTATACTTTCGTGTCTATTTGTAACTTGGTTTATAAACGAACAAAGTAAATTGGCACCTATGACAGTCAATCCAGACAAAGATAATGACCATTATCCATTCAGGAAATTTGAACAAATTAAATAATCGCACTGTCAACATAACGCATGAGAAATAAATCAGTCGCATAACAATAATAATTTTTAACAAACACTTTGGACAATGGAGAAGCTTATATTGAGTGCTCCTTCACTATATGCAAACCAATTAACATGGTATGCATGGTGTTGCATCACTTCCTCGATCATAGCATTCTTTTTGGTATACTAGTAACATGAACGTTAAATGCTAAACAACGTGGCTATGTACAATATACACATTCGGTTTAAGTATATGCAAATACGGTCGATTGTCTTGTTCATGGGTAACACTCGCGACTCTTTAACATATTTTCTTTTATATTGCACTGAACGTGGTTTAAGTAAGTTGTTGCTAATGTTAATTGCTCAAAATGTCCATTTTGTGTCTATGATTGAGTAGGTAGAGTAGTTGAGCATTAATTAACAAACTATTTACATGTTTCGAGCGTTTCAACATCGATTTTGGTGTGTAACGAAGGGGCGCTGGAACCTCTTCAATGCATTCTTCAGCTAGTCGCGCCGAGAGACATCGGCGACGATTTTAAATGACCTGCGGATGCAAACTGCTGATTCGCCATTGAGTTGGGGTGACCCGGCTGTCCAGAACCGGACATGTTATTGTTATGATCGCCGTTCGACGATTGAACAGGCGGTCGATGCCCATTCATCATTTGACTAGGTAACGTTGACGGCTGTTGACAAACAAACACAAACCACACAAGATTATATAGCGTGAATATATTAGTTGACTCTATTACACTATACTACAAAACAAAGTAAATAATGTTTACCGGTGGAATTGCTGTTTGGCGCTTGAGGTGCGAAAGTGGCGGAGGGTTATACGCCATATTCGCAAAGACTAGACGTTCTTCGTAATCATATTCGCAGAGGATTTTATTCTCACACAAATAAAATCTATCACCCACACAAAATCTGTAACATAACGATGACTTTCAGAGAAACATTGCGCATTGTAGTATAAAATATTCAAAGAATGAACACGTGTGTTGAAATATAAGTAGGAGTAAACCACAAGAAGTGGCACTTGCACAGTGTGAATCTCTAAACATGTAAAATATAAAATCCGTGTCGTTTACGGCGGTGCCAATCGACATCAGGGGCGCGCTGAGGGCATTATAAAAACATTCCTCGCGGCGTGTCCTAGGAATATCAATCAAATTGCGAAACGACGCCCGAATGCCCCGAGGGTGTCTGACGAGACAATTACACGCGCCATTTATCTCCATAAAACGGAACTAAACCCCAAATAAACAAGCGCGAAACACTGAGAGAGGCCCAAACAGGAACCTTGGAGATAAACTGAGGTAGTCCAAGCAGGAAGCAAACAAATTTCAATGGTCAAAAACAAAAATTAAAATTCGCCAAATATTCTATCATATAAAGCAATGTGTTGATATGAATACGCAGGGAACATCAAAAGTCTATGATAATTTCGTCAATGCGCTAGATAGAAAATGTCAACTTTGACCGTTTCAATTTTCATTTTATTCCGACAACGAAAATCCATGCTGGCCTGGGCATCTATCTAACTGCACACAATGTTCGGTCGTTCTGTTCGCTCGCAGATAGATCAGTAAGGTAATACACAACAATGGCATGTTGTACGGGCACAACCTGCAATAACGTCCCCCTATTCATCGTCGTTTATTAGTCCCGCACTTTCCGGCTAAATGCGTCCATAAAGTCGAAATCTGAACATCGCGATAAACCGGCCCATTGTTTACATGATTGTTAAATTTATGTTTGTACAAATTAAATCTGCGCACTGGTGGTATCTCGCGGTCGCAAAAGTCCAACAACGGGGAAAGCGCGTCAGGGAAAAGAAGGTGGGGGCGGTTGATGATTGTCCTTTCGTATTGTTTGAAATAGCTTCAATGACGAGTGTTTGACAAAGTATTTTAGTCCAAAAAAAAAAAAAACATAACCTAATAATATTTATTTGTAACTAGTTAAATCTACAAAATAAATAATTAACTTTTAAAGTGAAGTCAAATAGAAAGAAATGGAAACACTCGGTGTGTGAGCACAATAAAATCTCTTCTAACGTGGGGAGGTGAGAGAAAGCGTTCAACACAATGTGCATTCACAACTGGCGGGAGATATGTGCACAAACAGCGACGAACGCCTAACGCATGAATTCATGCATTTATGAATATGAACGGAGTCGCGTCGTGTTGGTGGATGCGCCGGGGACACGACCGTATCTTGCCCGGTGTAACACGTTTCTGTGTTGCGTTGTGTGTGCGCGCCGACTATAATACATTTGTTATTTATTTATTTATTTATGCATCGATGGAAAGCGCGCGAACAGTCGACAATTTTTCGTGCAATTGGGTTTATGCCACCATTACACTCATGCAAACACACACCACGCGTGTCGCGGCGCGCATTCTGATAAACGGGCACAATAAAATTCCGCCGTTCAAACAATACGGAAATTAAAAAAAGCAAACGCGTGCTACGGCTACCTACCGGACGAAATCGCCAAACCAAATACACACAAACAATAATGCGCAATTTTCCGATTTCGAGCGTGTTCAATCGTTATTCGCTCTTGCATTATAATTGAATATAATGCTAGATTAACGCTAAAATACGCCTATTTTCACACTGCAATATTTGACTCATCATCAACATTTTTAATATGTTGGTACACCATGTGTGTATTAAGTCATAAGTAAGAGAAAAGACCGTAAAATTCATATCTATATATATATATATAAATGAATTGCTGTTCGTTAGTCTCGCTAAAACTCGAGAACGGCAGAACGGATTTATCTTATCTTGGTCTTGAATTATTCGTGGAGGTCTAGGGAAGGTTTAAAAGGTGAGAAAAATTTGAATAATTGCTGGGAAAGTCCTCAAAACAGCTCTTTTCTATAGAATAAAATTTGATATTGAGATTCAATCATAGTTATAGTTAAATAGTTGAATTCGAGATGGCGCGCTGAAGTGCATTATTGACAAAACTTTATATAATTAATTTCTTTAAATTAAAATTGCTAATCTCATTGAACGAGTATGTCTGAGAAAATTTGAATAATTGCTGGGAAAGTCCTCAAAACAGCTCTTTTCTATAGAATAAAATTTGATATTGAGATTCAATCATAGTTATAGTTAAATAGTTGAATTCGAGATGGCGCGCTGAAGTGCATTATTGACAAAACTTTATATAATTAATTTCTTTAAATTAAAATTGCTAATCTCATTGATAGAATTGACTCTTACTACGAGTATGTCTAGAACAATAGAGTAAAAACGAATTACATTTTTATTAAACACTGCCGGAACGAAGTCGCGGGCAACAGCTAGTCATTGATAAATAATACAAGTTGAAATGCTAAAAGTCCATAATTATCATTTTATACTTCTTTAAATTAAATTTAGACACAAAATAAGTCCAAGAAATAAAAATGAAATTGTTAGGCTACATTTACGTTAGGCAACCAGTCTAACAAACGTAGTTTTTAGGTTAGGGCGTCGCAATAATATATTACACAATTTAGTAAACTCTAAAAACGTAAAACACCCTCCCAAATTTAAAAACGTAGACGTGGACACAATACAATATTAAAAAGTCCGATGGGGGAACACTGTCGGCCCGCGATGGACTGAGCGTCTGCACTATAATTCTATAAAGCGTCGAGCATTTCAACGCCGAATGTGATTTCCCTTTAGACCCGTAAAGAAAGCTTCCCAATGGGTGTGTGATGTATACGAGAAAGTGTCATAGGCCAGGCCATAGAAACGAAAACCCATATACTTGCCTGCTGTCCAGAGCAAGCCCGAAAATCGAAAGATAAAGGGAACTAACCTGTGGTTGCACTGTTGGCACGCGAAGCACTCCAAATGGTAGACGTTGCTGCGGGCACGCATCACCATCTCAAACGCCGGAATGATCTTGCTGCAGGCGGCGCAATAGCCAATGTTCCCAAAGAGTCTCAAGTAATCCCGTTTGCAGAGAATCAGGTTCGCCTTCGTGTACAGCGTGCTGCCCACCTCGCCGAGCCGACAATCGCAACAGCCGCACTTCAAGCAGTCCTCGTGCCAATAGAGATCTAGCGCCTTCAGCAAATACCGATCCGTAATTGGTTTGCAACAACCGGCGCACTCCTGCGGGCCACCGCCGGTTGTGTTTGCCTTCGATGTTTCTGACTTTGAGACGTCCATCGTCATCATCGAAGGGCCGTTCAGCTTTCTTCGAATCTAGAAATCAACAACAACAACAACAAAAATTAATATTTTACTATAGTTCAGTTACAGTTGAAACAACTTCGGAGGGCAGCTCTATTGTAATCCAAAGCATGAAGGGTTGAAACGGTAAGATGCAAGGCGATAAGAAATCAGTAAACTGCGTTGCGTCGTCACAGGCTTTCCTCTTCACCCCTGCACACCGTTTCGTGTGACAGTCGAGCTGTGCTTGCGCCATACTACGCCGCCCGTTAATTAAGTTTGTCACTTTTCTCTATACACCCACACAGAGGCGCGTGCACGCACCACGCCGATCGTGGAAGGGAGACAGCAATATTGTTTTATAGACAGGGCGAAATGCAAGCGCCGTCCACAATAGTCGAGTAGCAGGAAGTGAAGCTACTGTGCAAGCACAAGGGAGACACCAACTCGACGACGACGACGGCGGCGGTGTGGTAGAGTGGCAGTGGCGAGAGCAAATTTAGGTTTTTAATTATTTTTGTTCAGCATTTCCTCAGTTAGTTCATTATATAAAATTTAATTAAGTTTCGCCGGCCTTAATTTAACGCTACTAATCAAGTATAAAGTTCCTTTTTTCTCCTCCTCTTTGCACTTGCAGCGCTTGTCCCGCCACAGGCTCGTGCTAGTAAGTCGCGGAGGGTGAAAAACGACTCTTCGGGCGTTAGCATCATGCAGCAACATCTCAAGTATTGTATCATGTACCGTTATGAACATTGTACACTTTGTACTCGGCAACGTTGTTTTTTTTTGCACAACGAATTAAATGACTTTCATAATCGCCAAGTTGACGCGCAGCAACACGAATAAAAGTCAATAACAGAAATTAACACCAAGACGCGAGTGGCGCGTGCGCCGCGTACGAAAATCGTTATGAATTTAATGAATTTAATCAGAATTAAAAATGAATTTAATTAAAAAATTTCCAACGGGGTTCTTCGGTCGGTGTGCATGTAGATTTTTAATAATCGCCGGGTTGTTTGTGTGACCGCGAGCTCGTGTTATTTTCCTCGCCCACCCTCGATACACACGCTCACATCCGAGTTGTTTAAGTAAAAACCGCCGCAACATTACTCGATTTCTGGGGTTGTTTTGTTCTTCATAATTAGAAGGAAATTAAACTCGCGCTTGAAAAACAACGCCGCCTCCTAAAAAATATACGCCGCCCCTCCGGCTATCCATCGAAATTGTGTGATGGAACACCGTAAATTTTTTAATTAAAAAAATTTCCAAGTAATAACCTAAATTGAAAACGAGAAAAATTGATTGTTATTGAGTTTGATTGTGTCCAACTTGCTGAGCTCGGCGTGTTTTGTGTCTGAGACGACGCGCGCGCTTGCCCACCGAAATAAAAGCGGATTAATGTAGTTAAGTGACAAAAACGAGACGTAAAGAGAATACCCGAGAAGTGTTGTTGTTTCTTGCTTCCGATATGTGCGCGCTTGCAAAGCGAGGGTATGAGTGAGACACTGAGACACTACCGCCGCCGCCGCCGCCGCTTGCCGCCGCAATGTGTGTTTCCTTCTCTGGCTCACACAGAAAACATCACCCTCGGTGTCGTCGCCGCTGCAGCCGCTGTCTCCGCAGCGACGAGCGTGGGGAAGTGGATTGAATTCTTTTTACTTGATTACAGCAGTCAATTTGGATAATGGTCAGATGTTTGATATATGCACGGACTCGGTAAGTGTATTACTGATGTATTGATGACGAGCTTGTGCTTCGAGTGCTGGGCTTAGTGGCGTCGTACTAGCTAGAAAAGAATAGCAATGCGCTGGAAAACGGCGCAAGTTTGGGCCGGTTTGAAATCGGATTGTTATCGAGCTGCTTCGAGCATGGAAGACATTTCATTACAACAACAATGCAAAAAATATATAAGTAATAACAATAATGGCCACCCACTTACACTTACGAGTATGTCATGGAAATGCATAATTTTCATCAAACTGCAGTATATTTAATAAATGTCTTCTTGGAAGTAAATGCGCGTGCGTGCCGAGTTTTGGGCTTGTCGTATTTGTCGCGGTGTAATAAATTAACCCATCGACTTTGCGACTCCGTGTATTCTGTGCGTATGAGTATTAACTTTAATTACAAACAATGCAAAACAGTATTTAATGAGTCGGTGATGTAGCATTAAGAAAAGCATAAACATGTCTTCAATGGTGAACCGAATTGTGTGGCTGCTGAGCGTATTATTGCGTCGATGGCACAAAGAGACTTCCGTTGGACGTGCGCTATCGATTTCGATGAAAATTGAATTGTTAAAGAATAGAATTTCGAGCATATCGTCGAGGCAGCCAGCATCCGGCTAATGTAATAATCTCGGCTTGCGGTCAAACATTTTATTAGTATTTTAGTGCTTTTCGCGAATACGAGTAAGATATAGCCTTGGAGACGCTATCAGATATGATGGAATATACAATGCTTGGCCAATAAACACGATTTATCCACTTGAAAGAGAGGAAACAATGACTTGGAAACAATAGAAAAATCATAGAAAAACAAAACTGATTTTTGCTTTATTTTTACTAATAAAAATTATACAACCGTAATAAAATTTAGTTTTACATCTTGTTATCACTGCGAATTCTGGATTTTAGTGGGTACATAATAAATCTAGAAGGGGAAGCACACATCCGCAATGCTGTGCAATCCAACTTGAATGAAAGATATCTAATTAATCGCCTTTTCATTTCAGATATTTCGATTCTGATTAATTTTATATATTTTGTTTTGCGTTATATGAATTGATAGATGCTTAAATGTTTAATAAAACTTAATTTCCATAAAGTCATCTTCGATTAGCTCGGATATAAACAGCGTGTAAATAAATGCGCTTCTCATATTTAGGGTGGGTGGGTGTATAACCAAGACTGCTTTGTATCTAAACTTGGAAGGCACTGCTCAACGTCCTCTTGCGAACGGAAACGAGTGAAGCGCGGAGAGGAAAAAGTCTGACGAAGCAACGCAGAAGCGCTCGCGCTCGCCCACAGTCTTCGACATTTTGTAAGTTATCTACTTTCAATTTGGCTAAAAGGCCCTGCACTTTGTAAACTTTATTCGGGACACATTAGCGCAGCCATCGGCAGTTTGGAAATTTACAGCCAGTGTACTGGTTTGTTTTTCATGCGCGACATGCATAACGGTTTTTTTTATCGCAATTAATACGAAAATGAATAATAATTAACGTCGCAAATACGCCCACAGTATTATTATTACTGATTATGTGAGTAATTTCTCATCCGCTTGAAATGATTTAAGAAAAATAAAATTTTGTGAATTTTTAAAGTTTTAGTATTGTGATAGACAAGTAAAATTTATATGACAACTAAAATCGCATTATAAATCAACCTTTAGCACCCGCACAGTTGACGCAGCCGCAGCCGAAAACATTACCAAAACAAATTGAATTAGGATGTGAATTTGAAACGACGAGTTATATAGCATAAAACACTTTAAGCGCTAAACTGCGCTTGTAAAATGGTCTTTACGGCTTTGTTTATTTAGTAGGTACAAATAAATCTCTCTGGAAACCGGGCGAGATATGGCTAGATGAAATTCTGGTCTATTTTCTTAATCTCGGTTAAGCAGTGCACTACGTAACTAAGAAATCCACACACACACACACATAAATACCCCGGTGTGGACAGTGTGTTAGTTTAGTGTGTGAAATGCATCTCGTAAAAATGCAAGTCTACTATCTGTCGACCAGACAGCCGGGTGATAAAGATGTAAAGCACATTTGTTCGTTCGCTCCGAAAACGCTTACGCCTGGCGAACGGTTCACACACGCAGCACGCGAGCTTTTTGGTTTGATACTCTCGATGTGTAACGTTTGCTTACATTTTCCTTGCGCGCACAAACACTGCACATATCATCCGTCGCGCCCCGTACGTGAAGTGTATGCTTAAACCGCACACACAAAACATTTACGTCCACAAATGAATTCGTTGACGGATTTATGAGCGTTTTATTTCAGAAAATCGCATTTACGCTTGTTGCTTTTTTTCTCGCTCGATTTGATGTATGCGTTTTTTATTCGTTGCCTCGTTTACACATCTGAACGCAACAAAATGTCATCACAACGCAGCGTCTTCATTTCATTTTTACAGAAAACTAATTTTAGGTGAAAAATAAACAAAAATTATTGGAATTTGATTTTTTCTTTGTTTGAGACTTAATAATTTGTGAATTTGAATATCAGTACAAAGACACCAACCGAAATAATCAGAGCTGAATAATCAGCCGATTGGTAACATCGGAAACTGGATTGAATAATACAAGAACAGCGCCGCGCGCGATGTGATACTCTCGGTTTTAACCCGCTTGCGAGGTGCCACAGCGCGCATTGAATCTATTGACTCTAGTCTATTGACTGTTTTGTTAGTGGAAGTGTTTGTACAAAGCTGTCTTGTCTCCTCTAGTCAGTGGTTCCATTTCCTTTCGATTCGACAGCCGCACACTCAGCCAGGCAGCTCGCCCCCCTCGCAGCCCCGCACGCGCTTTACCAATTTGCCGGCGCGCACAGCATCGTCGGTGGCACCGTCGCGAGTTTATATAATCTTGAATAATCTATATCCGAAATCAGAACGTTATTCCAATTAAGAGTGTCAGGCCGCATAAACAGCCCTTGAATAATTCATTGCGGCAGGCTTCTTACCTTAACCCGTTGCGACGTTGCCACCAACAAGAAACTGTCAAGATGCAAATGCAATTAACATCGCGAGTGCTTTGGAAAATAATTACAAACATCACTCGCTCATTTCCTTACTTGGCTGCGGCGTTAATGCGCACACAATGCTCGAGCGCGCGACGGACAAGTGCGCTCGGCAGATTCAGCGGAAGGATGCGATAGAAAATGAACAAATATGCAATGGAGAGGATGTTATTGTATTACGACTAATATTTCACACTTGTCGTACATGCAAAATACACGAGTGTAATTGAATACGAAGCATATCCGCAGACGTTGCGTAAATAAAACGAACACAGAGTCATGAAAGTTTAAACGCCTGCGCTATTATGACAAAGTGCCAACCAGTGCAGCGCGAAATGATGACCACATTAAAATAAATTATGGCCCAAACACGAATATCCGCTGCGTATTCCCCAAGTGTCTTTTTAGGAATCATAAACAATTAAATTTATAAGATTGGTGAAGCGATGCGATTAATTTTCAATGTATTTGCCAATTTGACATGAAAATTTTCATTTATTGTATAACCACGACTTTTTGGCACGTTGCACGTAAAACAAACAATACAATAGGCACGCCTCATTGCGAATGAATGAATATTATCATAAGAAACTGAGCGTCCCGGCAGCGCATATGCTGGAAGGGAAACCATTTGTTTACGGGTATTTAAACAGCTGTTCGGGCCTGTTTTTATCATCATAATGATGACGATGAATAAATATGTGTGCACAAGAATAGACGTCGATGACAAGCAACCGCTGGCACTGGCGGGAGAGTCCGTTTGTGTCATTTAACGGAGATCTCGAAACGTGAGAAGTCTTTGACACAGTCGATTTACGAAAGGCGTTCTTTGAAATATGTTGCATAAACACTGTAGGCGTGTAACTTATTCTTGCAGGTGCAGCAAGAATGACTTACTAATTATTACTCTAAGTATAGAAGCTTTTATTTCGCAAAACTTGAAATTTTTCTGAATTTTTTATCTAGTTTTATCGTCTTGGTAAACACTAAGACAGCTTGTGAATGTAAACATTGACAGTTGGGGAAAACTGTTTGTGAAATCCATTCGAAAACATCCTACGACATTCCAAGTCACTCCTCCCATGTGTTAATAGATTATCGCCAGATTTTGTTAACAAATGTGCCAACAAATTGTCCCCAGAGTATCTTTAAAAGGAAATATTTCAGCGCGTAAACGGAAACCGTTTATTTCGAAAACGTAAATAGTACTTAAATCTAGGTTTTAATTTCTAAACTCACTAATGTCCCTAATTACCTAGATAACACCTTGATATTTATGCAGTTCTTTGTGTTATTTTGTTTTCTAAATATAAATACAGATTAGCCGCCACCCCGGTGATATTTATAAGTTTTTGTTGAGCGCTTTAGCGGTTTGCACAATTTCCATTCATTTCGCCAACAAAATATCTCGACACAACTCCAGATGAAAGAAAGAGAGAGGGAGACATTTAAACGCGTCGGTAATTAAGCGTCGCTAATTCGGTAATAAGCATCCGCAAACACAGCGGATTCAATTTGCGTTTCAGTCGGCTCCATGCACAAATAGAGAGGCGGTCGCCGCGGCAAAAGCGCTTTTGCAAGCTTCCGTAGAAGCTGCCTGCACACGCCAGAGAACACCGGGTGCAAAGGAGAGACGAATAACGTGAAATCGGACGGCTTTTCAAATCGAAACCGTAGCCCAACGCGAGTGTAAGTTAAAAGGCCCCCACAACCAGAAACGCAACCAATTCGTGTGCGCAATGAGACTAAAGTTGTTAAAAGTGACTAAACAACACTCAAATGAAATTTGTGGAAGCAAGTTTTCCGCTTGCGCGACTCACTAATGCATTTAAAAAACAAGCGCTTAGGTTAATGTTAATGAGTGCTGGGGAATGTTTGTGTCTTTTGACAAATTTCAAAATAACCAAAGCATACACGTAATTACACCGTTGATATGATATTAATTAATTGCATTTAATATAAGCTGCGTTATGCGGAGTTTTTATTGGCTTTTACGCCTCGAAGCGATAAAGTTATTAATTACGAAAATAACGATTTTATTATATGTGTAGTTGCAGTGCAATTGGGGAATTTGCGAGAACCGCATACTTTACCTATACAACGTCCGTTTATATTATACGTACGTACAAGTGTCGCGATTATACTAATAATATCGTGTACATGGAGCGAACCCCTGGTACACACTTGTGAGCATGCCGCACGCCGCTCGCACTCAACCGATGTGTACGTGTGCGCTCAGTAATTAATTTCGTGTTATAAATTAATTTACGACCAATATAGGTATATCGCTGGGATTTAATAATAAATGTGTCACATGTGCGCGTCGTTCGAGGTAACATTTTAACTCCACACAAGGTACCACCTCTGCGGTTCCAAACACTTTTACCACGGTCGGATTACAATCGCTAAATACAATTTTAAACAATAGGTTGAAATGTAAATAAACTTGCCTTTTGTTCGAGTGGTAGCAACATTTAGGAGCGACAAAGTTTCACTACTTGTCACTTACCTGCAACAAAATGACATAATTAATTAATTTTATTAGTATTTGATTTATAATATGGATTTGTTTAGTTAAAACCATAGAATAATATTATGTGTGTGTGGCAATAACATTTTTTAATTGGATTATTGTTGTTACGCTTGGGTAAATCAAGCGTATCCCTCAATTACGTTTCCCTTGATTATTTAATGGAGTTTTGAACCAACATATTAACGTTCACAAATTGGTACAATTTAGTTAGGGATTTGCGGATGGGATGAGTCAAAGCATACCAAGCGTATCCGATGATAAAGGACTCTTTTTTTTTACACGCACATCAAATGTACGGGTTGTTATGTTACACAAATTTTCGTGTGATTACATTACTTTTGAAAAAGCTTAACAGGAGCAGTCATACATTTTTTATTCTCGCAAAAATCAAAATATCTATATATATAAAAATGAATTGCTGTTCGTTAGTCTCGCTAAAACTCGAGAACGGCTGAACGGATTTATCTTATCTTGGTCTTGAATTATTCGTGGAGGTCTAGGGAAGGTTTAAAAGGTGAGAAAAATTCGAATTATAATTGCTAATCTTGAATTCGAGATGGCGCGCTGAAGTGCATTATTGACAAAACTTTATATGCATAATTTCTTTAAATTAAAATTGCTAATCTTATTGATAGAATTGACGCTTACTACGAATATGTCTAGAACAAGAGAGTAAAAACGAATTACATTTTTATTAAACACTGCCGGAACGAAGTCGCGGGCAACAGTTTCTTATAAAAACAAAAAAACACGTAAATGTGCGTTCCGGCTGTCCCTCGTTGGGTTATTTTCTTCTGGTGATCCTACGCCCGACGCTATTGTTGTCAGGAGAGCTTTTTTATAGGCGGAGTTTTTACCCAAATAGTATCCTGTAATGTCAACGTCAAAACTACGCATAGGGTTAAGCATTAATTTAAGACGCCGAGTAAAAGTTTGCAGATTTTTCATTCACGCAATAAAATTAATGAGATTTATTCAACGTCGAGCGCAATCAATTTGTCTACGAAATTTTGTTTGAGTTTCAAGTGGTTATTTTAGCATGTTGGCAATTTGTTTTGGTGTTTTGGTGTGGTGATTTTTCAAGCTGCGTTCAGTGGCATGTCTAAGCTGCAAATCGGTTTTTTGTTTGATTTGCATATTAATTGCGCAATAACACGAATACCAGTCGGTGGCGTTTCGTGCGAAATGCTCGTTTTAATTAATACTATCGGAGTTTCCGAGCCATAAAGCTGTTTGTTTAATAGCCTTATATTTGACACATATTTTCACATGCATTTAATGCGAATTAAAATTGTTTCACAATTTTGATGTATAAAATAATTTTAATTAAATTTTGATTTAATTCAGTTGAAGAATTTTTTATTAAAAAATTATACACTTAGCCAGTTCGTTTTTGCACCTTCTTAACTTGATTTTCCCGTAACTTTTTGCTTTTCTTCATTTCAATAGCAAATGAAGCAGAACACACTCACCAAGTGATGAAATTCTCCATGAAAAAATATTCGGTTATAAATTTACTTTAACAGAATGAGAAAAAATGAAAGAAGAATATATGAGAGGAAATTAGAGTCATTTTAGAAAGTGAAACCTGAAGAACAAAGGCTTAAATTGGGAGTATCTGTTTAAAGCCCAAAGCTCGAAACCAACTCACCGAAGAAGTGAGTTGGCGTGGCTACAATTCGATTTTCAGCGTATCTGCGTGCCTCCGTGAAGAATTGTTGCGTTCGCTGAGCGATTTGAGGTTGGCCGGAGTCTGACCGAAGAAGCAGCGAAGCAATTGCGCTGCCAGTCGGTACGTGATGTCCATAAATTATTGCGCTTTGGGGAAAGATGTCTGGAAACATTTCAAGTTCGATTGTATTTATTTAAACAGTCGTAATCAAATTTGTTTGGCTATAAAATTAAGTTAAACTTGCCTTAACTTAGTTTTTATAAAAACTATTAAAAAATTGAAATCTCCAACGACTAAATTAATATAAAATTTAATTTATTAAATTCTGTTTTTTTGGTCACTTGAAATTCATATTTATTTTTTAATATAACAAATATTTATTTATTACAACTAAAAATTAACAGTAATGAAAAATTTATTGGACGTACGCATGGCTAATATATCTAAATCTCTCTAATAAAAACGTTTGAACATTTATTCAGAGAATGGATAAAAGCATGGGATAACAAGAATTAATTAAAACTGATGGTTTAAATGCGTGCGATGGTACGTATTGATTTCACTGGGGTGCCGTCAATAAGAGGACACGTCAACCGAACAAAACATGTTGATCGGAAAACCGCTTAATTTGTAATTGAAACACACTTTTTTATGCAGCCGTGCTCGCACATTATGTGGGATTAAAAGTGTCAATGTGGCAGCAGGCGGAAAATTAAATGGACAAGCAAAATAGACAAAAAGAAAGATACAATTTGAAATAATTGCAGACAAAAATTTAGTTGTTTCAAGGGAAAGCAGATTAATAGTTGTGAAAGTCTTTGATTTAATTTTTAACTGTTTTTTTTTTCTGAATTTGCAACAAAATTTCCAATATGATACAAATCATTTCGTTTATATGAAACAAACTTCAAAGATTGCCTCAATCTGATATATATTTCGCTCCAAACGTAAATCATTTCGGTATAAATACAAAAAGTAAAAATATCGAACGTTATTTTGATGAAAAATGATAATATACCTAGAGGCATGTATGTTTGAAAAGAATATTTCATCTTATTACACGATATCCTTTTGCTCCGGGAAAACTGTAATACCATTATAAATTCATTCTTTTGTCCTCTTCAGAAAAAAAAAACTTTAGGAGACAACACCAAAGCGATTTTTTTCTCACCTCAGCGAAAAACAATCTAGACAAATGCAAAAATATGAAACCAAGCTTTAATAATAATAACACATGGCAAGACTGAAGATTTTTGTATCAAAATCATTTCTTTTAGTAGTAGTTTTATTAAAATCATTGCAATATTGCCAATATTAAATCAACTTGTACGCCACGTATGTTTTGGTTGATAGATGTAAGTTGTAGATTTGCGAATCTACGGTAAAATCGTTTTTGCATCCCTTCCGATGGGAAATAAATACCTATCGGCAGTAAATTTAGTATCGTGATGGCAGCGAACGACAGTTCAACTTCTTATGGCCCGTCTTTGCGTCCACGTCCTTTTTCGTCTCTGCTAACGTAAATATAAATTTCTTTATGATAACCCAACATACCATGTGTCTATACATCTAAATATAAAAATCAATATTGATAGAATTGACTCTTACTACGAGTATGTCTAGAACAAGAGAGTAAAAACGAATTACATTTTTATTAAACACTGCCGGAACGAAGTCGCGGGCAACAGCTAGTTTATAATAAAAATAGAAAAACTTAAATTAAAAGAGAAAATAATGTAATTATAGATTCAAAAAGTGTGAAAATATTATTGTTATTAATCGCTGTACAAGAATACAAGATATTACTGTTTGTAGAATTGAATTCACTCTCAAAATGTTATTAAATTCCATCATAAAATACTCGGAGTGTCCAAACGCCCAAGCGATGGAAATGTATCTTCCTACGCACATACACACAGCAAGATTGGGTGCACAAAACGTTGCAATTTTTCTTCTTGTTTGATTTTGATTTAAATTCGTGCTTGTATATTGAAATGACCACAATGTTGCAGTAAGCGTGCTGGGACTAGGCGCACGCTTCGCCTGTGTGCGACCGGGAGAGGCAGGGTGATTTCGGCTTTTTCGACGTCCCTTATTACATACTATGGAGCCAACAACCACTCTCTTCTCCATATGAAAGACGAGCGTGTGCGATGGTGAGTAGCCATCCCCGCATATGTGCATGTACGCCGCGGCAGCAGCACACATGCACGCAGTTTCCTTTTTTTCAATTTTGTTTCTCTATTTGAGCGTAAAAAACAAATTTGTTTTTTTCTCGAGTCCATTATAGTCCGGGGTGGAGAGAGCGAAGAGAGAGGACTGGGGATCCCATCACGTCCTCAACTCACCGTTTTTTTCGTTTTGCTCCTTCAAACATGCGAGGCCAAGAGCAAATCCCTTTTTCGGGTAAGCCTGGTGGCTGTAGAGTAGCCCGGCGGACCACTGGCCCCCCAATTGAAAAAAAACACAACAGTCGAAACAACATAACTCATACTACTGTTCTGGGTAAATTGATTTCATAATCTATTGAAAAATATTAAAAATACAGCGTACAGAAGAGTAATAACAATATTGTCAGAATATAAAGCGGTCAAAGAGGTATGAGGGCTTAAGAATACTCGACGGCAGGCATGTAGGATATTTATGAAGTGCCAAAATGTCAAAAACAAAAGATTAAAGTGAGACAAAGCGTCACTCGAAAAGTAGCCGACCGTAGCAGAAAGTAGGTACCTAATGTCCCGAATAAGAATCTTGGCATTTAATTCAAGTAGGAAAAAACTTCTACCACAAAAGCAAACATTCCGAGTTTTTAATATACTTGTAATGCACACCTACGAAGCCAACAGAGAGTCACACAAAACTAAAGAGTCCTCATCTCGTCGGCATTGCGCTACAGCCGCAACGGCGCTATTCCAATAATTGAATCGCTCTCCAATAGCCGTAATGCGCTAATAATACGTCATAATGTGCGATGGTATCGCCTGATGGAATTGCTTTGTTTCGGGGGGACGCCAAGCCGCACACTCACACGCACTCACAGCCAGCTCATTCGGACGGAGCGGATAGGAAACGCGCGTGGTGACGGCGAGACGCGAGATGCCGGCACCGACGGCGGCGGCGGCGTAGTATACTCACACAAGAGCACAAAACGCCACTTCACTACACCACACACCAGCTTCTTAGCTCTCAGATAGATTGGGGAGATGTAATACAATTTACTTCCTCGAGATATGAGAAACGGAACGAAGGCGGCGGCGGCGGCGGCGGTGGTGGCCCGAGAGTGGATAGGGACCCGTCGCAGGGTAGAAAGAGGGAACCGCGCTATGCGCCCTCACACAAAAGCTATATTTAATCATTGATCAATCTATATATCTCGGTATTAATACCAAAACAGGGCTAGACGCTCATCAGCGAAATTACCTAAATGTACATACACACAGCGTCGGCAAGCCGAGCGAAACAATTCGCTCAATTTAGGGCCCAGTGATGCTGCGTCGAGGCACGAGAGACAGCACCAACCAATCCACTTCTAGCTGAATATTGAATATTTGCTATTTCGACTCTCGGCGGTTAATTAGACAGTGTACTGATAATTACAAGTAAACCGGTTAATTGATTGTGTATAATTAATTGTCCAGGTTTTGTTCGGTCTGCATGTTGTCCTATCCTGTCCACGTTTGCCTACGGCTCCTACAGTATGTAAATCAACCACAAACACCGTCTGCTCCAAACCACCAAAGGGTTAATAATTATTAACCCAAATAAAACCACCTAAAGGATTAAATTTAAGCATAAATTTAAGAATTACACACGAATTATAATCTAGACTTGAATATTTCGGACAACTGGCAGTATGATACCAACAGAGAGTGTATACAATGTTCAAGCTTGATTTCGTATTGTAGTTTCGGATCGCAATCTCTCGCATCCTGCCGCCATCATTTACCAACTGCCCCCGTCGAACGAGTTTCCCGCCACCGTCGCCGCGCTCGCTGCACGTTACACCGCGGTTATTGCTGCTTGTGTGAGTTTCTCTGGCCGAACGGCGAGAGACAGAAAGTCAGCAAGCAACTAGCAGAACGCGAGTCGATATCCGATTTCGTTTTAATTACCCGAACACTCTACTCCTGCTCGTTTCTCGCTTTTATGGGTCTCTGTGCGTGCACCCGCACTATATGTGTGTTGCTCCTCAGTGAAGTGGGTACTCTACTTGTATTCGCGTTGCAGTAAACTAACCGGTGTTGTTGTACCGTGGTCCCTTGTGTGTTTGGAGATCACGCATACTTGAGCATTAATTAACTTATTATTGCTATATATATAGAAATAGAGTGGGTGTTGGTGTTATTTCTTAATGAATTTAGTTTCGGATTAATTCACACAATGTGTGGGGAAAAATCGCCGAATAAAAATGACCAGCCAGCGCCGTAATGATCCAATTAAAAAAGTTTGTTTCTTGTAGAACGTGTCCGAGAACGTGGGCTGCAAATGCGCGATGCCGCCGAGATGCAAGAAGTGAAGCGGCAAAAGAGGGAGAGACTCTCAACGCGGCGCGTATTGGTAATGCGGGCGAGACATTTACGGTCGTGGCGATTCAGCCGTAAAATTACTTATTTCTAATCAATTTATATACTTTCTTAGCGCAAACACACTGTGAATGAATGGAGAACCAAACTCACTCAAGCTCGAAACAAACAATTGATCATTGAATTATAATACGTACAGAATCACGCTGTACACAGACACAAACTCATGAAACGCGTTGAAATTTTATCGTAAAATACTTTTTTAAAGTAAAATTGATACAACACAATGAAATTTAAAAAAGTAGGGTGTAAAAAATGATCTCATTTCAAATGTAACACGTGTCTGGCGCACGGCAACATGCGCACCACGCCGGTTGTGTTATTATGACCCATGATATAATCTCATATAAATAATTATTAACAAAATGTAGTGATTATATAAAATATTATTGATAAATTACTTACTTTAATGTTGTTGAATACTTGTAGGTCTTCTTCTTGCTGTTGATGTTGTGATGTCTCGACGGATAATAAACGAAATAAAATAAATCACTCCCAATAGAACTCAACAACTCCCCAACAAAATGTCAGAATATAAACGTAAATAATTCAAACAGTTATTGTTCGTTAAATATGATGATAAACAACGCGAAAATGTAAAAGCGCGAGGATGTGTAAGCTGCGCGTCCATACGCCCCGACGTGCGGCACTCGACTGAAGCGCAACACCGAAGTCCTCCCTCCGAAAGCTGCTGCCGCCGCTACTGCTGCGCTAGTACTGCACGGATTGTGTTCGAAATCCCGTCGTTCCCGTTGCCGGTGCGAAGGCTGTGCAGTGAGTGCGGCGTCGCGCAATCGGGCGTTGCGTTTCAGGCGCGTTTTCAGGCGTCTCTCAACGGGCTATGATCCCCCGCACTGTGCAACACCGGAATCGCCGCGCATGGTGCACGCCGTAGACTCGGAGAGCGTTGGCGAAAGAGAGGCGCAAATTGTCGGTCGCGTGCCGACCAAACGAGACAGCAATTGGGGTGGCGCAAGCGGCCTGCGCCGTCTAAAGTGGTGGGTTTTACCATCGCTTAGCTTATGATTGCAATTACAATAAATGTAATATAAGTGTAGTAATAAGCAATAAGAACTAAATCGAACAAGGTAATTACTTACTTTATTGTATTAGATATATTTTTGACATGGTTTCATTGGCTTTGTGTCTTTATAAAAGAAAAATATCAAAATAATTTGAAAAATCATTTGTTAAAAAACTTTTGCTAAGACAAGTCGACTAAATGAAGAATTGTGTGAATTGTTTTAATCTTAGAGAAAGTGCAAATCACAGTAAACAAGAAAAAATCAATTACTTACACTTTTTCTGCATTTTTTCACTAAATGCTACTTTAAAATACATTCTGGTTTTAAAAACATTCATTCTGACAACTTACTGAACCATGAGTAATTTGAAGAGGTCAAATATCTGCAATTTTATCAATATTCTGTAAAACGCAATGGAAATCTCGACACCATCCGGTCGTCTCATTCAAAAACATATTCATTTGACAAGTCAGACATCCATGTCAGTTTTCTTATCACATTTGGACGTATTATTGCAGTAATTAACATAAAAATGCATCAATATATATTTTTTTCAAATCTCGTTAATTAAATTCACCCAGAAAAAAAACTGACTTGTCATCTCGATGAATTGACATATTTAATTTACCAAACAAAGATAAAAACTGAATATTTTTACTTTCGAATGCGTTTCGAAGTTAATGAGTCTTTTTTCTTTCGTGTTGCGTTGAAAAGTCTTGCAACTCGTTTTCGTCATTCGAGGGGAGAGGTGAAATATTAATCAAGCTCAAAAACGGTGACATACAAAATCATTTAGCGTTTTAATAACGTTTAATGCAAACGTCAGCGCGCGGTTTTTGCGGGACGCTTAGAAGAAAGAGAGAGTACAAACAGTTGCAATGAATGCGGTCGTATATACCTATATCGCAGACAAATTATGTGTACGACGAAAACGCATAATAAATACTCGCGAAACGCGAACGCCGAGTGTCTTTCGTGCATTTCGCATGTTCCTATGCGAAATGTTTGGCTGTATATTAATTTATGCTTATGCACTTATTTATGCGCTGCTTGTAATGACATATTGCAACGAAATGAGTGTCTCAGACGCAGAAATTAAGACCCAAATATGAAACTTTATGCTAATGTTAAATACGATTTATATTCAACTAAAAACTTCAAATATTTCACGTAAAACACAAGAAAATGAATGTAAATATGAATGATTCACGAACCGCAGATAAATGTTGCTCCAAAGGACTACAGGAAAATTTAATTAAACAAAATCCTGATTAATTGTGCCAATTTAATGCAACTTGAAGCATATGCATGATTGCCAGTTAGGGGAAGGTACTCATTTTAATATGCACACAATCAAACTAAACCACCCTGTCTTACTCACCCTTTCGCATTGGATCAAGCAAACAAGCGCTTTTATTGAGTAGCACCTCGGGCAACTTGTGCCTTTATATTTTATCAAAATAAATCCCCGATAGTAATAATTAATATGGGAAACTAAAACAACCAACACAATAAAAATGTGTAATTGCGAGCAGGGGTCGCTCCTCGCTCTCAAATCGATATGAGAATTCTGTATCATCCCATGACACTTTCAGATCCAATGATTTTCTATAAAGGGTGTTGTGATAAATATCTTTGCAGTTGCGCAAAATGTACACAAATAGAAAAAGTCAAAGTTTTCTCACTTTGTTTACTCGTTACGTATTCACCCCTTGATGCGGATTTAATTCGGCTCGTTGGGAATCCCTGAGTTAGAGTGATGCGTGCGATTGTCCCAGGCAGTGCGCGGCAAGTGATAGTAGCAGACGCGCGCATAAAGCACATCTAATTAGATTAAAAAGCGATCCAGCTATTATAATATTTTATTCTGCGCCGGAGTGACCATCACCCAGTCGGAGTCGGGAACTCCGGGACAGACAATGGCAGTCAGTCGATGGCCAACAATGAGGTGGTGAATGGCGTGTAATGTGCTTTCAGGCGCTGCGCGTCATTGATATTTCAATGTTCCACATAATCACATACAAAGTGTTTCAAAATCTGTTATTGTATACCTATTGAGCTTTTTATACACGGTATTATAAGGGAGTTTATGCCGTGCACACATTGTATATGGGTTTATATCAAAAAAAGGCTCTCAACTGGTGACTGGGTCGAAACAAGTCGGCAACCCTATACGAATACATATATGAAGTTCAAATCGTTCCCACGGTTGCGACAATATCCCTAATTTTAATCCGCAACGCCTGAATATCTCGACATTAGTGGGATCAACATAACATGACTCGGAATAAACCGATTTGCAAAAAAAGTATTAAATGACAGAAAACATGTGCATGTAATTCTGATGGTTAAGTCGTTTTTCTTACCCTAATTCAATTTTTTACAAATTCTACCCCAAGAAGTAGAAACGTAAAATTTAAACGTCATATTTCTTTAAGTCAATTAAGCGCTTCAAAAGACTTCAGTAATTAGATCCTGTGAGTCAGGATTTTGTAGAAAATGATATTTCCATGAATGTGGTCGTGTAATAAAATTTGGGGTTGTAAAATGCGTTTATATAAACATAAACAATAAATGCACTTAATGCGAGAGAATGGATCGTTGAAGCGTGTGCAACGCAGGGCGACGATTTCTATTCGGCCGAATTCGAAATGCAAACGTGACCGTACACGCACGCCGCGCTAAACTGCCACGACCGGCCGTCGCTATCAATGCGGCTGTGGGTTCGCAAATGGATATGATTTTATATGCGAGATATCTGATAGTGATAGCTAGGCAGTCGGCACGTGACCGCTGCGGCCACCACTGATACCGACAGCTCACGTGGCGATCCTATTAACCAGTCGCACTTACATTAGTAACACTCGACAGAATTACGAAATGCAATTATTGTTCATAATCTCGGCCTTTATATTGCGAGATGTGCCATTTTTCATCCTAAATTAAAAAAAAATTCACAATTGAGGATATGTTGTGTTGTTTGCGTTAAAAATTTAAAAAATTGAGTTTAAATTATTTTTTTACTATAAATTTATTTAAAAACAAAATGAAATCTAATTTTAAAATAATTTGATTTTGAAAAACAAAGACATTTCATGCAAACAAAATAAGTGAAGCTAATTGTATTCGCAGGCATGTCCAAAACATAAAACTCACTATTTAAATTAAATTCGGACGCAAAATACAATAATAGTAATGTATTAGTACAGTTAGATCCCGGCGCGCGCATTATGTTTTGCGGTTGACGTTGCATTCCCAAATGATATAAAACGCAGCAGCAAATCAAATTATTTTCAATTACGTGTACCGAGCGCTAATGCGTGTGCTCTTGCCGCTTGGACTGTATAAAACACAAAGTTAGTTTTTGTTTAATTCGCGACTGAATAAACTAATATAAAAGTAATTAACATCGCGTCTGACGCGGAATATGTGCCCGCATTGCCAAAGCACATTTCGTTTCCCGTTTTTTTTTTCATTTCAAGTTGTAAATAAAACTACAAAGTAAAATTCCGTGTTGTTTCTTTCACTTCGTCGCCCATCTTCAGTAAAATTCCGGAAAAAGTTACCTTCATGCTTTTACCCGTATCACAGTTCACCCTCTAAAGTGTTAGCAGTAACAGGCGATAAATCTGATTTCTTTACATTATGCAACCGCAAAGACGATTTCTACAGCACCCAGAGGAATTCCACCCAGACCCTTTCGTGCTGGAGGCGCAGGCGGCCAAGGTATCGAACTAATTCCCGATCCCTATAAAGTTTTAACTTTTAAGACGTCCATATACATCGACAACGAATGGCGGATGCATAACGTATTTATGTTCGTAAGTGGCCTGAGGCGTCGGCATCCCGTGCGAGTGTGTGCGACGTCGGCGGAGAAAATCACGCGGCATTAGGAAGTTTCGAGTTTGAATCCCGACGGTGTAATCTGTCGGTCTTGGCTTGGCATCGGCCGCTCGTCCTGGCTTTTCGATGCCCGTCCCGTCGCAGCCATTAGAGGAAGCCGTCAAGGGACTGACCCCGTGCAGCGCTGCCGAAGCACACACCTTTGGCTACGTGGCGACTCTCTTTTCGCATTCATCATCGAGTAATGTCATCGCCGGAACGTAGTCGAACTAAATCAGAATTTATACTTGGGATTATATTATCGCGGACGCGTGTATTGGTGTGCGCCATTGCGACACTATCTTTCCTGGTCCAACTACTAATGTATACAAATTACTGTTTGACTTTAAAGTCCAACGCACCGATGGCGAGGACCCTTTCTGGAAATTGGGGTATTGCAAGTCCCCGAGAAGGCACTGGGTCCATATCTTATCATTAAATATTAGTGAGCATGCACATCTTAATCTTGGCCTTTTGGGTACTGTCCGTGGCGACCGCACGACCCAAATGGAAACGTTGATACTATTTTCAAGCAAATATTATCACATAAATTAGCAAGTTGTAAATATACGTCTGCCGAAGCACAAAATTAAGCTTTAGCGTAAACATACTCGTACTCTCGGATGTTTTGCCAACAAACGTTACAAAACACTTTCGTTGGTTGTAATTTAAACATTATACAGCTTAAGTTGTATTTGTTTAGTTTTCGTATTCAACATTTTGTACGAAAAGATCAAAAAAAATTGTTTCGCTTTTGGTTACTTCAGATTTTGAGATTATTTTGATCATTTTGAGGTTGTTTCTGACTTCGGCGTAAAATTAAACGACACCACAAATGTTTGACTCAATGCAAAATCATAGGAATATTATTCTAATCTACCTTTAGTACGTTTGGCTTAAATATATATTTGATGAGAAATTGAATATAATGACAATTCAATCATTTGTTTTTTGGAGCAAATGTTCAAATAAAAAATATCCAGACTTGGAGGCCCCAATGATATTGGTGGGCATAAAATAAATCCACGCAACGTATAATGTAACGACCTTAATCCCGTTCGTATTCAGTTTATGCGCCGGGGTGCTCACAAAGCGTTATTGCCATTAGGGGCTTAACAATAAATAAAACCTGATACGACCGTGTGTTCGATGCGCACTCGCTTTGCAGCAACAAAAATCGGCACCGCTGATGTTTTTGGTCGCGTCTGTTGCCGTAGTAAATGCAAAATAACGTTTTTACGAAATGATTTTTATTACTTAATCGACCATAGGAGGTAATATCTTTTTGTGGTCAAGTTTTAAATTTAAATCGCAATTGATCAGTTTTATGGGTTTTATTACTTTGAGGATTATCTATGTTTCCACTATAAAAATATGTTTTATTATAGGTTGAATAATAAAATTAATATCATATTATAGTCAAATCTAATCTTTGATTAGTTAGCAACACTATATTGGACAGAATTTTACCCGACGAGTTACTTTTACTATTTTTTTTTTGCTCAAGTACTATTTAAGTTATTAATTCGTTGGTGAGTGAGTGTTTTAGAGTGATTTAGAGATGGGTCCTGCCATCTTTCATCACAATCGGTCTTTAAGAACACTCAGAAAATCAACGAAAGCGACACTGCGCACCATCTATTAGATACTTGTTACACTTCTGCAACAGCAATTTGAGCTTATAAGGTTTCAGTTTTAGCAGATTCTTGAATCCTCTAAAGTCCTGGCTGGTTTCTACTCGTACTCCTGCGAGGTACAAAACAATTTGCCGCGAGAAGTTTCTCAATTTTGCAATTTTAACACTTTTCAGGTGTAGAATAAATAGCATAGCAATTATAGATATTGTTGTTTATTTAATAAATTGCAGAATAAATATATTAAGTTACTAATAACTATTTAAAGAGATCACTGCAATGGACGGAGTGCATAAACACAGATACATGTATAAATTATTCAAAATTTAAATAAGTTTTAAAGTTCTGAATATTTTGCAAACGTCGAGCATCAACTTTCTCGGTGCACATTGGACACGACTCTTCAGACTCCAATATCCTAAAAGCAAATAAATATGTAATTAATTTGTTTGTCAAAAACAAAAGCGATACGTACTTGACGAATTCTGATAGAATGGCGGGAAAATCACATTCAGGACATGCAGTTAGGTCCGTACTTAATATATGCCTCTAAAGTTTAAATAAAAATTTCATGTATTTTTAGAATTATTATAAGATGCGCAAGTAAATACTTACGGTAACAATGCAGAATGGAATATGATTCTTGCACACGTTACAGTTCACTTCACTTTCTTGCAATTCATTTCCACAGAACGGACAAGGCGTTAAATCTTCAAGCGGATCCTCCATCGAATCACCGTCCTTTGTAATTCTAGGAGGTTTCCTAACAACCGCCTCAATTTTCTTTGCGTATTTTGAGTCAATCTTCTTCCTATACTCAGGCTTCATTAAAAGTGTTGCGTACCTGTGAGCAGCTTGCTTCAATCCAGCACGGTGACATTCGATTACAGCGGATGTTAATATAGGAACAATATCTACAAAATAACATTGGTTTATATTCAACTATAAAAGCTATTATAATCATATTTACGTGATGGAAATTTTGAAATATTATTAGCAACTCTGATTAACATTCGGGCGCCTTTCAAATGATCACTGCGCTTAACATGCAACCGAACTAAAATATAGCTATGCAAGAGCATTAGGCTCGAGTACATTTCCTGTGGCACTTTAATTCCATTATGCTTCAATTCTTGGTACATTCCAAACAATACATCATGAGCGTTACGATAATTTCCATTTATCTGCTCTTCATTTGCAATGATTATTGCTGATTTTGATGCTTCTCGAAACTGTTTGCGAGCCATGTACAATCGGAATAAATACTTAGGATCCTTGGGAACCCCATCAACTTCGCCCAGAAGATATTCAATCAGTTGATTAGCCAAAGATTCGTCATTTGAAGACGCTACCACATCTATGGCTGTACTCAATGCTTCATTCTCTTCGGAATTCGACTTGGCTACACGCAACAAAAGCTTCATTGCTTTGTTATATTCTTTTGCATGAAACCAATACTTTCCCGCATATAAATAATTCCGTTCTTGTTCGAAGTACAACGCCAAACTATTGAAGTATTCTGGTTTTATTTCATCCGGGTCCAAGCTGTTGAGGAGAATTTCTCCGTATAGTTGTAGTTTGGAATGTTTACGTGCTAGTTCAAACGCTTCGTCATGACATTTAGATAATACTAAGAAACGAATTGCAGTGGGGAAATCATTAAGACGTTGAAAAAGCGTGCGATCAATTTGGCTCCTTCAATGCTTTTTGTTTCCTGCACGAGTTCGATTGCCACTTCTGGATTGTTTAAATAATCCAGCTGCAGACGAATGACGGAGTCAAAATCTTTAGCGTTGTAATACGCTTCAGCAGCTTCTTGATACTTTCCTTCGGTTTCTTTTGCTTTCGCGTATTGAATATGAATTTTGTTGGATGTAATATTAGGCAGGAGTTGGGCAACTTTTGACCAATTCTTTAGTTTTATGTATCCAAGTGCAGCACGATCATATAGCACAGCATTCTCATAGAAAACAGCTGCATCTGCAAGTTGTTTCTTTGATTCAAGTATATCTGCACATTCGCGGTATAATTGTTTGGTATTCACTTCTTTTGCAATTGCAATACCATGTTTAAAATTGCCTGTACGGATTGATGTTCGTGCTATACCGGATTTACATGTGATTATATGTTCCGGATTTAAAGATTCAGTTTGTAATCCTTTTTCATAATGTAAATATGCCTCTGAATAATTTCCACTAAAAATACAAATCGAATTAATGTCTACATTAATAAAAACAGAATAAACTTACGTGAATTCAAGTTGTTGTGCATATTCTTTTGAAATGTGCGCAATTTGTTCAGGAGCCATCTTCTTTGCCAGTTGTAAAGCTTGATCCCATTGTAAAAGATCACGTCTCATTTCTAGTGCTTCAACTGGATTGCTACTCTTCAGGAAACAACTCTGGGCCTGATCATAATCGCCCAAATACATGGCAACATATCCTGCAATTAATTTTTGATCTTCTACATCTGTAAGTTCTTCCAGTGATTGTACCATTGCAACATCTTCCAGCTGTTTGTAAACTCTCATTGCCAGATCAATTTCTAAATTGACTATAGCCTTGCGTGCTAATTTCTTCCATAACTCTTTAGAACCCAGGGATATAGCTGTGGCCCATGCATTTCGAAACCGATGCAAGTCTAGTTGTTTATTGAAATTATTCTCTAAAAGACTTCGATCTTTGTCGTTGCCTGGCACCTGAGCAACATCGTGTGTGACAAGATTAATCTGTGTTAATTGTCCACCCGCCGTTGCTGATAATACTTCGCCCGCAAACATGATCAGAGGCGTTTGCTTCGTCGCCAATGTAGTCACACCAATCTTCTGAATCGATGAACCATAGACAGAGAATGTCACATAGAGGTACGTACAAATTTGATTTTCATCGTAAACGACAAATGTGTTACGGTCGTTGAAATTGCTATCCCAAGTCACACCACATATTTTATTGGGCAAGTCGGGAATCTCCAGTGTTTCATTATTGACAGCATTATAAAGAAAACCCTGTGTCTTGACATCGAAGAATACTAAACGACTGCCCGCTGGATCCGCATAGATATTCTGTATGCCAACTTGATGCCGGTAGTGATTGGCGACTGCCCATTCCTCGAGACAAAAGTAAATAATCTGTCCACTATCAGTGGTGTAGATTAAGAATTCATTCGTCAGCAAATGTGATGTTATGGTTACATTCTGGACATTGTTATCGGGAAATATTATACTTTCTCTATCTTCGTTTTCAACCTCACCGCTTTCAATCTGCAAAATATATAAAAATCAAACGGGTGATCATAATTTGTGAATTTGAAAGTTGTACCATGTGCAATTGAATCTTTCCTTCGTACATGACTGACACGTATTCGGCGTTTAATTTTATGCTTTCCACATGTCCCAAATATTGTCGTGTACTTATTAATGGTGTAGCTGGATCGTAGGTGTTTTGATCAAGTTGATGTAAGTCATAGTACCAGATTCTATTATTCATACCGGATGCAAAGTGGAAAGGACCAACTGCAATCACTTGAGGTTCAATTTCGAGAGCAAGTGATATGGGTTTACCCTAAAATTTAACCAATATTAATAAACTGTAGAATATAAAGTCATATCTTTTGCTTGCTTTATCTCCTGCGTATTTGTACAAACTAATTTCTACTAAATTCGATTGAATGGCAATGCGTGGTCCACACACGGCCATTAATGTGGGCATATCCGCTACATACACTACAACTGATCCATTTCGGGTGCATACACCCAAAAGTTGCCCATCGGTACTCCATGCAACCCTATCAATACCGATTTCTTGACTAAGTGTCAACACACTCAAAGTCTCTTGTAAATTAGACGTATCATGTATTTTTACACTAAAATATATATGATAATTCATTATTGGTAATTAAAGTCATTGATAACTTACGTGTTATCGCCAGCAGATGCAACCTTTCCTGCGGCTGTACACAGCGCAATATCAGATAAATTGATTTTGTGATTGCGGACTTGAAAAAGTTCCTGTCCAACTTCTTTGATGTGCGTAGAAATGGCAATAAAGTAACCACCAGAAAACCCTATCAGAATGTATCCATCACCAAACCATTTGTATGAAACAATTGAGCCGTAGTGTTGCTGAAATGCTAGTTCAATGGGGTTTTCAGGATCCATTAGATGGTATAAATATAAAGTGCGTTTTCCAACCACCATGCTAACTGTATTTTCACCGCCTGCACGTTCATCTAATTTCATTTCGGAGAATTGCACATCTGATGGTTCGGCTCTAAGAGCAATCACGCGCAAAGTGTCGCCTTCTATGTTACTAATAGATATAGTTTTATCCTCTGATCCCAGAGCTAGAAGATTATCTTTGTTCCATCCACCGCATGTTATCTTTTTTGTATGTTTTGCTATTATCGGTATTCGCCTTTAAGGAAAAAACAATTTAAAATCAAAATAATTATGTAATGATTATTATCTTACTTTGAGGTAGCGTGATTGTAAATGGATACATTGCCCTTTACAGTTCCAACAGCCAATACAGGAATTGCTTTTGCCCACAGAATGCATGTGAGAATGTCTCTTAATCCAATGTCTACATTTTGTTTCTTCTTAGTATTAGCATCCCACAATACTAATTGCGGAGATTGGCTTATTACTCCCAGTACATCGCCATCAGAATCCCACGCAAAACCGGCACACAAGCTATTAATTAGTAGATATTAATAATAATTAAAAGATTATTAATTTTATTTCAAACCTTGGTAGCCTGATTGTTTCCAGAGTATTCCCGTAGCGGTCAAAAATGTTTACCACCGAATCGACGCCGGTGGTGGCCAAAAAGTTACCGGCGCCGTTTTGCCAAGCAATATAGATATCGCCAGGGCCGTGAGGCTGTTCGAGACGAAATAGCATCTAAAATATCGCCCAGGTTAGAAGTATAAACAATTTAAATCCATTCTTTTCTTAATAAATTAATAAATTTTACCTTTTCAGTACCCATTTTGATGGCGTATGATCATCAACGGTCAATACAAACAAACATTTCGATTAGACGTATGCGTAGGATGGAAAAACATCAATATTTAAAGTGACACCTTCACTTTTTGACTTTCATTTCATTTCCAACGCTACTGACCGCCGGCGCAGGTGTTCTTCGCCATCATCTTGTGATTATGCCTACCGCGCTTACCTGAGAGAGTCAAGAAGTCAGGTGGGATAAGTTGAATAAAGCATTGCGTGGGTACAACTTGTTATAATTTAAAAGAAACCTTCTAGAGGACTCTACTTACATGTATTCGGATATTTTATTCTTTTCTTATAATATCCAAACATTTCTTATAATGTTAGAAATTCTTATTCAACATTAATTTTAATCTGTGTAGTTTTATTTCCAAAAAGTGAATAATGTAATTAAATTTATTATTGACCCACAAAACCCATTCATGTTCTACATTGTTGATATACATTGTACATTGTTTAAGTACATAGCTCCAAAGTGGCCCACAATTTTCGAAGGAAAATAAAAATATTTGGAATCAATTAATGAAGAATATATTTATAGGATGTACAAAAAAAATCAAACAAACTTCAAACATAGTAGACAATATAAATTGTGTTTATTAGAAGTAATTTGGCAAAAAAAGAATAATATAATGTGCTAGATATAATTTTTCAAAATCTGCGTTCAATGTCCCGCTAGAATAGTCTTCGACAATTTTATGTACCTAACCTACGCAGTCGAGTATGCTAGAGTGGCGTGACAGTGGCAGGCGTATGTTTATAACTTCTGGCTCTTAGTGAATTTTTAAAGTAAAAATAACAATGTCCAAGAACAAGGAGCTTCTGAAAAAGGACGACATTGTCCAAGCTGTTTTAATCGCAGATGACTTCAGTGAGGAGTTTGATTTAGTTACTAAAAATACCCCATTTGTGAGTACATCTTATGTTCTGCTATATATGTACTTCCAAAGTAAATAACTATTTTAATTTTAGGTCCTATTACCACTTGTCAATAAACCAATTCTTGATTACACCTTGGAGTTTTTAGCCTCAGGTGGTGTTGATGAAACATTTATATTCTGCTGTACTCATAGTGATGCAATCAAAGAATATATCAGGTAATAAACCTTTATACATTGCTCTTACTTTAATTGAAATGTATAAATTTCTATAGCAATGCAAAGAAAACTGCTATTTGGGCCAATGTTATGGATGTTCATATATTAATATCAGAAAGTTGTACTTCACTGGGAGATTGCTTGAGAGATATTTATGCTAAAGGTGTAATTCGTGGCAATTTTGTGTTGGTTGAGCCTGGAGTCATATCAAATATGAAGTTACTACCAATTCTACAGGAACACATGTATGTATTTGGTTATATTTTCTAATATACCATTAAATTATGTATAATCATAGTGCAACTTTAAAAAAAGACAAAGGAGCCACAATGACTTTAGTAATGCAAGAAACAGGCTTAGAACAGAATGGTCTCTGCTCTATGGAGGAAACTTTAATTGTCACAAATGACACTAAACAAGTACTGCTTCACAGAAGGCTTGCAAATTATGAGGAAAATAAAATAAAACTTCCATTAGAAATGTTCCTGGAACATGCAGAAGTGAAAATTTGGTACAATCCCAGAGATACACATATATCTATTTGTGGACCAAATGTTCTTCCACTTTTTGCTGATAATTTCGACTACCAAACAAGGTGGGATTTTATTAGGGGTATTATGATGGTGGATGAGGTTGATGATAGCACCATTTACTGCCATGTGCTCTCTGATGGCCAAATGGGAGCAGCCATAACAAGCTGGGATATGTATCAAAGTATTAGGTGAATATAATTTAATTCCATAAATGTTTGTTTTGTAAATAATCGTGTATTTTCTAGTTGGGAAGTGATTGCCGGATGGTTTTACCCCATAACATTCAAGACGCAAGCGTGAGTTCTCAAAATTGAAATTATTATCAAATAATTGTATTTTTGATAATTTCTAGGCCAATAACTTTTGGAAAAAGCATTGTGAAAGGGGAAAAGTGCCTTGTATCATCAACTGCTACCCTGGTGAACTGCATTCTTGGCGATAATGTTAAAATTGGCGAGGATGTATCGCTGAAAAATTCGATTGTCTTCTCAAACGTTAAAGTTGACCAGGCCTCTGAAATTTACAACTGCATAATCGGCAAAGATTCTATTTTATCCTCCAAGTCAAAATTGAAAAACAAGATTTATTGTGACAGCCAAGAAGTTGATAGGGTGCCCTTACCAAAAATATGTGCGGATCCATTCGATGGCTTTGAAACATCGGATTCCGAGGATGAATCGTACACCACGTCACCAGTACCAGATGATACCAAGAGTGAGTATTATTTATCTGAACTATCTTTCTTGGGATATTTAAATTGGCGTTAATTGAAACTGACGGTGCCTTCCTCTTGTAGTGTTCTTTTCTGAAGTTATGGATAGTTTGGAAAGGGGTATCGAGGACAAATTGCAATGCCATAACTTAATTCTCGAAATTAACTCGTCGCGCTATGCCTATAACGTTTCACTTAAAGAGGTTTAACAATTTGCCATTAGTTTGCAATCTATTACAAAATTATTTTCTAGGTAAACTACTTCGTCTGCAAGGCTATTTTAAGTTTGCCCTTTCAACTGCAGGATGGATCGCAATATTTGCAAGCTTTGTCTCGTTGTTTAGCATACTTCTCGCCAATCCTCAAGAACTACATTCGAGATGACGACTCCATGAACGATTGCCTACAAGCTGTTCAGGTAGGTGTAGAATATAATTTGAAAAATTAGTTTTTTATTCGTAAAATCGTAGGATGTTGCAATTGCCAACAACGAACTAAGTTCGTGTATTGTTAAAGTGTTGAATTGGCTGTATGACAAAGATTTCTTGAGCGAAGATGTCATTAGTTCATGGTTCAGCAATTTAGACAACTCTGTATCAATTTACTCAAAAGTTGTGCCGTTCGTCAAGTGGCTCCAAGAAGCCGAAGAAGAAACCAGTGATGATGAGGACGATTAAGTTTTAGCAATACAAACATGTCTTTATTAATACTTATCTCCATTAATGTATTACCTATTCCGTAGGCTTTAGACGTAGAATAACGGGGACACTAGTACAAGGCAAAATGCCCAATTCGGTGGCAACGCCAGTGACGTACTTGGGTGGAGTTACATCATACATTAAGTTCAAGGCATTCAAATATCCGAATTTATCCTTAATCGGCATTAACTCATTGGGATCACCTGCAACATAATTATCTTCACTTAAAACAACGACAAATAGCAAAAGAATTCTTACCAATCTCATTATATACAAAGCTGTCGGTTTGGGCACGTTCGGAAAACTTTGATGTCTCGCAGCAGACCAATACGGGTTTCATATGCGTTTTTGCAATGAGTGCAACTAGAGCTGTACCAGCACGTGCCATAACATATCCGTTATTTAATAATGCATGTGCTCCGAAAATGACTTTCGTAGCCTGCTTAATGATGAAGTTGATAGCTGTGATTAGAATATACGTGCACTCTATGCCCGCGTTTGTTAGCTTGGTTAAAGTTCGGCGGCCTTCGAGTAGTGGTCTCGCGTCAACAATAATCACTTTAAAATTTCTGCCCTTTTCTTTTGCATCAATTAGAATTTTATTCACTAGCGACGAATGGCCGTAGGTTAAAATGACGTCGTTATCATTGATTTTTTCGCAAACTTTCGCGCTGATTGCCACTACAGCTTTGTCGATTTCATCTTCTACATAGGAATCAATTGTGGTCTGCATTTCATCCTTCTTTTCAGAGTCTGTCATGGACGTTTTGATTTGCGCTAAGTGCAGCTTGAAATAGCGTAATGCGTTTGTCATTGAAACGGCAAACGGGCGACACAATTGTAAATGTTCGACATTACTATGCAGGTGGGCTTCAAATGCTCTACACAGTTCTTGATTGACAGGAGTTTGAAAATCATTAATAAGGTGCTTTAAAGCACACAATAAAGCTAAGCATCGGGCATCTGAACCAAGGATTGTTTTTGCCGCATATTGGGCGCCTAATTGTATAATAGCTGGATGAATTGCCTGGTGAACTGTTAAAGGCTTGAATACGCTTTTTTCCAAATGACTAAATAACTGAACTCTATGCCGCTTTTTGGCAGAATCAATTTTCTCTACAACCTTCCGCAAAGTTTTGGGTTTTACATCAACTGACTTTTGTTTTACATCATCCAACTTTTTTGTGGATTTAGGCATGACTGGTTTAGGGGCAACTGTTTCTTTATTATTTTGTTTTGCCAGGCGTTGCTGTTCCTGCTTTTCACGCCGTTCCGCACGTAGTTGCGCTTTTGATTTTTGGCCTGAAATATTAATTAAAATAAAGTTGTAAAGTAATTTTATTATGCAATACCTTCATGAGGGGCATCTGTGGAAACAGGTGGAGCATTAATTTCCTGCGGCACTGATTCTTGCTTTACTTGAATTTGATCTGTAGCATGATCAGCTTTAGCATTAGGTTCAACTGTATTTTTCTTATTATGATCTGTGTTATTAATGGTACCCTTCTCTGCCACCTTGGCCTTTCTACGCTCCTTCTTTGATAGCTTATTTGTGTCTGGTTGGTCTTGCATCAACATTTTACCTGTAAAGGTGTGTACACAATTAAAGTAGCTCTAAGATTAGCATACAAATTTCTTAAAATTATTTCATAATTCACAAAATTCATACATCACAAAATAATTCTTATCCATATGTTTTCCTTATTACAATTTAATGGATCATTATACTAGGAAACGTAGGAAGCGTACCTTTATCATTAGACATTGTATATTATACTGGTATTACCTATGATAATTTCAAATCTTCTGTGCGTTTTTATTATGTCTACAGCACCCACAGAATCTGGTACTGTAGAAATTTCATTTTTCTAGGTTATATCTGTTAAGTCTAATATGAGACTCGTCAAAGAAGAGAGCCTTTTTCAAAATCCAAGTTGGCAACACTGTGCGTGGAATTGTCAGCACATTGTCTGTTGCGGGGAGCACGTCGCTCGTTGTTTTATTTATAATTTTGCGTTCTTACAATATAAACAACGCTGTTTGCACTTAGTTTTTCGTTAAACTAAAGTATTAGTACTGTAATTTATTCGTTTTATATATTGATTAGCTCAAAATAGATGTTATTATCACGATTGCGCGAAACGAACATTGTGCACACGATTATATACGCCGATTTTGAAGATGTAGCATCATCATTTGATCCAGGTAAGTTGAATTTATCACTTCAAGGCTTCATTTAAACATCAACCAGCTGTTAATGGATGATCTGATTATCAGAGGACCTTGTTTGAGTTAATACAAGGAATTTGAATGTTTTTGCATGTTTTGTCTGATTTGTTTCTTTTTTGTTTGTTTTAGGGCTTAACCAGGTCAAAAGGTAAAAATGGTAAAATGGTCAAAACACACTTTGAAATTAAGGTAATTAAGTTTTCTTTCTTATAAATTTCATTTTTTGTTGTTCATACTATGTTTTCATTGCCGTTGAATTAATTTTTTTACGCTTGTCAATCCGGTTCTCCAACCGAAAAATTACAGGTTTGGGAGAAACACTACGCAATTACAGTTTTCTACAAAAATTGGGTAATTCTGGTCTCCGCCACTAGATGGCGATAGTGGTTTTGTGGTTTTGAGTAGTTATGTCCCTTTCTCTTTCGTCGTTATTTCCTGTACCGATAGATGGCGCGGCATACGTTTTAAAAGTTTATTTCAGTTTGCAATTCAGTATCTGTCAGTAGTTTTTTTGTGCGCTGGTGCTGCGCGACTTTCGCCAGTTTTTGAAGATTATTTCCCATTCATACAGTTGCAACTATTATGAAATGTATGTATTTTTGCCCTTTTCCTCAAAACGCGTCACAGTAACTTGAACATTTAATTTTAATTTTTTTTTGCCGAATACGTAATCTATTGTAAATTTATATATACTTATTTAAATTTGAACGTGTTAGAATTTCATGGTGTTGTTAAGTTAAACATGTTTCGCCTCGAGGACATCGTCAGTTTTTTTTTCATGCAATTTTAAAGAAAATACATATGTGATTATATGACAAATGTATACTTTAATTAACTATTTACTAAGTTGATGATTATTTGTATTAAAATAACAAAATTTCATTAATGTATTTTGAATAAGTAGGTACATTCCTGCGACGTCTACATTTTAAGTTTTGAGTTATGTGCAAAAATTGCTATTTGTTTAGATAGGGTACTGCGTGTGCATTTTCGTGTTCGTGTGACACACGGACACGTCCGCTTGAATGCGTGGCCACTTACTGACACATATGCAATCGCTCACTGCCTCATATGCACGCCAAACATTTTGAAACACTATGTATTTTCCGGTGGTACAAGAAAGCATGTCCAGATGACGCAACGATGCATATTTTAACTAAAAATATTCCTGCGAGTAAAAGTCGACCTGCACAGTTGTGATGCCGGCACGCATCTCTTACTTCGTGCGGCAAGTAATAATGCTCCGGCGAGTATTCGTGTTTCTCATTGTAAATTCGGTATATTGCGTTATATTTCATTGAATTTAGTGTTAATTGTCGTGTTTAGTCACTCGCTAAATATTTTTCGCGTTTGTAATCTTCGGAATTCAATATTTTGTGTGTTTATTAAATTTTCGCGTGTATTCGTGATCGGTTGCCGTCGGACGCCGGCCGGTCTTGTCGTGTGATTGTAAATAATATTGTCGTTAATTTTGGTCTTGTGCGAACCATTTTTGTCTTAAGGAGAACTCGTTAGATCAATGTGCTACCAGGTAAGAATACTCATTTAAATAATTATTGTAAATAAGACGATATTCTTCTTTACTTCAGTATTTACTTGCATTTGATTTCCGGTATTCGATACACTGTTAAGTAAATTTTTGATCATTCTTAGTATCTGTTTTCCTGCAATTGGAAAATTGATATCTTAAACTTATTGTTGCGGAAATTTCTTTTAAGCATTCCGCCGAAAATTTGAAAAGGGCAATCCAATTTTTTTATTGCCGATGTTCAATAAAAGTCAAATCATAAATCATAATTTCATGATTTAAATTTTAGTTCACTAGCATGAACTAAAAATCATAAAATAGAATTGTATTCGTTTTGAAGACAAATCTATTATCAACGTTTGTGTATAAACAACTTTCTTATCGCATTCGCCGTGCGAGATGCTACGCGTAATATTCTCGTTTATCGTCGCGCTGTCGCACATTTTACTTTAATTCATATCGCAGATACCGCGTCTATTGCAATTCGCGCACATGGTCGCGTGCCATCGGCGCGCCGCCTGCTTTGCGCATCTATTGCTTTCTTATCAGATACTGTCGCGTTGTTGCTTGCACAGTTTGCAGCCAGTTTCGTGCCGGTCTCTGTTTGGTCCACATGTATTTTACACGACTCGTATTGTTTGTCCGGACATTTACTTTCCAAATTCGCATTATATTTGATCATCAATCGACTATAGTAATGTTATTTACTGTTTGCGCGTATATAGCCCATACATGCCGGTTAAGTGTATCGCCCCCATGTTGATTTGATATTCATCATGAGGATGAGCTATCGTGCTGGTGTAAGTAACTTTTAACCAAACAGCATGTATTGTTTGTTTTTCTGCTGTATATACATTGCTCAACCGTAAGGAAATATTTTGTTTTAACTAGATTTTTTTCATTTACAGTATTTGCTGTGCCTTGGAGTCCATGAGTTTTGCATTGGTGAGTTTATAATTTTAATTATATATTTTTCGTTTTACCTCTGCGTCCCTCCATTACTTTGTATTTACGTTGTTTTGATTTATCGCGTTCTACCTGCAAGTTAAAATATACAAGATAGTCACGTACCCGCTGATCTCAAAATCCTGTTTAAAGCTTTCTCCTTCGTTTACAAAAGCGCAAGGGTTGTACTTGAAGATGCAATACAGCGGGACTCCAGCCCCTAAAACCATCCCTATTCCGTTTTGGTGTCGGTTTTTCAATTCCAATTATTTCTGATTGAAGCGACTTTTCGGAAAAAATTTGCATTAAATGTATGGTATTCAAATTGGGAAAAATAGGAAAGGTCGAGAATAATTCATAAACCATTTGCTAGTACAATTCTGTTTCATCTCACTGAAAGGTTTTTCATTTTCATTTTTAGGAGAATTTTGCTTGTTTTTATTTAATGCGTATAATTCACTGCGGATGGATATTTATCAACGTTTGTGTATAAACAAGGTTGTTATCATGTTGCAATTCGCTCTCATATCGCATGTAGCAAATATTTTTGCTTAGTTTTATCGCGCTATATCCTACGGAATAAAAATTATTTTTAATTATTACCTGGTATAAATTTTAACTTTCATATTCTGTGTTGCGTTTGTCGTTTGTGATTTTAGTTTAAAAGAGGGCGCAGCGGTAAATATTGACACCTTCCTGCATTTCCGCTTAACAATGTTATTTTATTTCACAGATTTTACTCATCTTCTTCAACAATAGTTCTGAGTAAGCTGCAACGCGAGGAAATACTGGTATGTGGTATGTGTAATCCGCGTTTGTTTTGTACTTATCCCCAATGTGCTGGCAATATGTACGTTTTTAATCACTGAACGCGCTGGGCGTCACACAAACTCGAGCGGACAAGTATCGCAGACATGGAAGACTTCATCAATAAAGCCAACTCACAGTAGCCAACTGGTGCTGCTGGCGTCACCCTAGTATTGTATTACGTTGAGAGAATTATTCGGCTGCTGAAGCTGTAGGTCTAGATTACGAGAAATGCAGAAAATAGCTGAGGAGAGTTACAATTTAGGACCAAGCATTGGCGTTTTGGGCCAAATTGGCCCAGCCAAATATGCCTACAAGCAGCAATACGTAACTGAACGAAGCATACCATTCGTTCCAGTTACGTATTGCTGTATTTTTTTCAGATTGTACACGCGATCTTGGCATCTCAATGGCTTCGGCGCGGCATCCAAAGATCCCGGAATTAAATTCTCCGTCGGGTGAAGTATTTCTTTGATGCGGGAATTCAACTACCTGCAACCCGCGAAAATTTTATTAAACCGTATTTACTCACTCTTTTTCGATACCATATTTGTATTTTTCGGGTTTTGCGCGATCTTAACGTCCCAGCAATTTCGGCGCGGCATCAAAAGATGCAGAGTGTAACTTCTCCGTCGGGTTGTTTTTTTGATGCACGAATTCGACCTGCACTCGCGAAAATTTGCCTAAAAAAGTGATTTACTCACTCTTTTCCGTACAATATTTGTATTTTTTCGGGTTTGCACGCGATCTTGACGTCCCAATAATTTCGGCGCGGCATCAAAAGATGCGGAATTAACTTCTCCGTCAGGTGGTATTTGTTTGATGCACGAATTCGACCTGCACTCGCGAAAATTTGCATAAAAAAGTGATTTACTCACTGTTTTTTTGCAATGTTTGTATTTTTTCGGGTTTGCACGCGATCTAAGCGTTTCAATAGCTTCGGCGTGACAACAAGAGATGCGGAATTAAATTCTCCGTCGGGTAGTGTTTGTTTGATGCAGGAATTCGACCTGTAACCCGTAAAAATTTGCATTAAAAGGTGGTTTACTCACTGTTTTTTGTGGAATGTTTGTATTTTTTCGGGTTTGCACGCGATCTAGGGGGCGTAATAATATCAGCGCGGCATCAAGAGATGCGGAATTAAATTCTTCGTCGGGTGGTATTTGTTAGATGCAGGAATTCAACGTGCAACCCGCTAAAATTTGTATTAAAAGGTGATTTACTCACCGTTTTTCGTACAATGTTTGTATTTTTTTGGGTTTGCTCGCGATCTTAGGATGTCAATAATTTCGGCGTGGCATCAAAAGATGCGGAATTAAATTCTCCGTCGGGTGGTATTTGTTAGATGCAGGAATTCCACCTGCAACCCGTGAAAATTTGTGTTAAAAAATAATTTACTCACCGTTTTTCGTGCAATGTTTGTATTTTTTCGGATTTGTACTCG